GATGGGTGGAAGGGGGAGGAGGATCATTGGAGAACGAAGAGAAGAATGACAGGGGGTTACGGGAGGACGACAAGCCAAAGAAGAGGGCGCGACGAGGAGTATCAGGGGGAAGAGCAGGATGGGCGTGGAGGGGGAGGACGCGGAGGAAGGGAAGGACGAGGAAGAGGAGGAGGAGGAGAAAGGAGGAGGGAAGATGAGGGAGGAGGAGGAGGCTGAGGAGGAGGAGGAGGAGGAGGAGGAGGAGGAGGAGGAGGAGGAGGGAGGAGGAGGAGGAGGAGGAGGAGGAGGAGGAGAGGAGAGGAGAAGGGGCGGACGAGGAGGAGGAGTAGGAGGAGGAGGAGGAAGAAGAGGTGGTGGTGGTGGAGGAGGGAAGGGGAGGAGGAGGAGGAGGAGGAGGAGGAGGAGGACGAGGAGGAGGATGAGGAGGAGGACGAGGAGGAGCAGCAGCAGGAGCAGGAGCAGGAGCAGGATGGACGTGAACATTGCCCGCGTTTCTATGTACAGACCATACCACATGCATCGTTTTCGTGCCCATGGGCCCACGAACGGGTGACCGTGGTCACCCGCTCGCGTTCGCGAGTGCGCTCGCAAAACGTGTCTGTGCATTGGTCCCTGTAGATTCCTGATTGATTTAGTCGTTTCTCTCATCCAGAGGTTGCAATTTTACATTGTTTTTTTCATCATCCGGGCTTCGATGTAACATTGCCAACGGTTGCGTGCAGAGCGCATACTAAATTCATTGTTTTCGCGTCCGTGGGCCCCCGGACGGGTGACCGTGGTCACCCGCTTGCGTGCGCGACTGCGTTCGCAGAACGTGTCCGCGTGTTGATCCTTGCAGATTCATGATTGATATAGCCACATGTTGCAGCCAGAGAATGGAAATTTACATGGGGTTTTCACCTTTGGGTTTTCGATGTAACATCGCCCGCGCTTGTATGCAAAACGCATACCACATGCATCGTTTGCGCGCGCGTGGGCCCACGAGCCGGTGACCGTGGTCACCCTCTCGCGTGCGCGAGTTTGCTCGCAGAATATGTATGTGTATTGGTTAGTGTAGATCCTTGATTTATTTGGTTGTTTTTTTTGCAACCATAGAATGAAAGTTTACATTGGGCTTTCACCATTGGGTTTTCGATGTGACATTGCAAACGTTGGCATGTAAACCGCGTGCAACATACATCGTTTTCGCGTGCGTGCGCCCACAAGCGGGTGACGGTGGCCACCCGCTCGCGTGCGCGTTTGCGCTCGCGCGTTTGCGCTCGCAAATGGTGTTTGTGCATTGGTCCCTGCACATTTGCGGGAAACGAATCCCGTGCAGCTGTGGGATGTAATCTTACATTGGGTTTTCACCCGTGCTTTTTCGATGTAGCATTGCCCCACGCTTCTACGCAAAACGCATACTACATTCATGATTTGCGCGCGGGCACACCGAGCGGGTGACCGTTGACACCCGCTCGCGTGCGCGAGGGTGCTCGCAGAACGTGCTTGTGCATTGGCCTCTGCACTGATGGTTGACTGTTGCAACCAGAGAATGAAATTTCGCATTGGGTTTTCATCATTGGGTTTTCGATGTAACACTGCCGCCGCGTCGCGCAACAAACCTATTACGGACGTGCATCGTTTTCGCGCGCGCGCGGGCCCACGAGCGGGCGGCCGCGGCCACCCGCTCGCGTGCGCGAGTGCGCTCGCAGAGCGCGTTTGTGCATTGGTTCTTGTAGAGTCATAAATGATATAGCCACGTGTTGCAGCCAGAGAATGGTATCTACATCGGGTTTTCACCAATGGGTTTTCGATGGACAGCGTTCGTCGAAGGGGCTGTTCTATGCGTTCGAATGCCTTCGCGCCCAAGTGTGGGGGGGTCTTGGGGGGTTTGCGGTTGAATGTCGCCGCGCGGGCGAAAGGTCGAGCATGCGCGTCGCGGGCGCCATGGCTATCGGAGAAACAGGTGCTCGGCCTCCTGGCGGACGCATGTTTTTTTGAGGTCGTCGTTTCCGAGTCGTTCCAGGGACCATGCAAATTGTTTCACTATTTCCGCTGTGTTTCCAATATCGCAGACGCCTTCGGCGAATCACCTCCCCCTCCGTGGTGGGCGCGCATCTGTCGCCGAACGTCCTGGTCAAAGGTCAGCCAATCGATCGGATTGTGCACTCGCGCATCCAAAAGTCTCTCATGTCTCAACGCAGACGCCCATCAATAACAACCCGAAGAGTACAACTCAATGGTTGCCCAACTTTTTCGGGGGCGGGAGTGGGGCGAACGAACGAGATGACACGCGCGTTGCGCAAACCGGGCCGCACTGTGTGCATGCCGCGCGCGCCCGGTGTTTTTGTTGTTTCCCGCCTCGCCTGCCGCCTCGCCATCGTCGAGTTGTTTTTTTCTGTGCGTCGCCCGCGTCGCCCCACTTCCTCGCGTGGCATATTTCCCCACCCGCTTCGTGCAACGCCTGATATGTTCCTTCCAGGGCCCACGGCGTTGTGGCGCGGGGGGTGACGACGCGGGTTGTAGTTCCAGATTTCGGTGGGACTCACCGTGGGGAAGCGGGTATGTCATCAGTCCCCTCGCTTTGTTTTTGTCGATCGCGCGGCGGTCAGCATTGTTTTGGCGATGCCAAACGTGCCCGCAAACCGCTGGACCTCGTTGCGATGTTTGCCGCCGGAGCTAGTCACGCGCATATTCTTTCGTTTTTTTTTGGGGGGGGGGGCTGGCGGCCGCGCGCCCAGCCTGCTCGCATAATTTTGGCGGCGCCTTCTTGGCGCCATATTGGGGGCAACGAATTATGCAACATCAGCGGGTCGCGCTTCGCGGCGCTCGGCAGAACTAGGCGTTGGCTGCGCCGTGGCCGCGGCGCCATGGCTTTGCGGGCGCCGCGTCGCTGCGGCAATGCTGTCGCGACCGAGCCTTGCGAAACAGGAGTTTTGATAATGTTTGAGCGCGTGTTTACGAAGGCGAACATCATATGCGCCCCCCCCCCCACCTCCCCCCCAGCGCCCCCTTTTCCCACGCCTCCGCGCAGTCCTCTAGAGCATGACCCCTGGGCGCTTCCGGATCCAAGTGGGATCCAGCATTTTTTTTCAGATGGCGCGAAGGTTTCTGAGAAACGCCGCCGTTTTCTGGGAAGGCCATGTCCTTCATATTACCCATATCCTAAGATGGGGTTATTGTTATCATTATGACGCCTCCTACTCCTCCTTCTCCTCCTCGTTCTCCTCCCCTCTCTTCCTCGTGCCTAGACTTACTCATACACAGACTGGCTCACAGTCAGATTCACTCGTCCCCAGAATTAGCCACGCACAATATTATTCATTTTTCAGACCTACTCATACTCATATCTACCCATATTCAGATTTACCCATGCTGAGACTCACTCATACCCAGGCTTACTCATACTCAGGCCTTCTCATTGTCTGACTTACTCTACACACAGCAGGTTGTGAGGATCTCTCCGGCTGGGCGCTGGTTTCAGCACCCCTAAACGGAGCCGCCGGGGGGTATGACACGGTCCCGTTCGCGGCCGTTTTGTGGGGATGTCTTTAGCAGTTTGCCTGTTTTTTGGCCCAACATCCTTCGCTTTCGGCGCAGATTTGGAGGATGTCTCGAGCGAGGCGCTCACTTTCACGCCCCGAAGGGGGGCCGCCGAGGGGTATGACACGGCCCCGTTCGCGGCCGTTTTGTGGGGATGTGTCAAAAGGTTTGCTTGTTTTCTGGCCCAACATCCTTCGTGTTCGGAGCAGAATTGGAGGATGTCTCGAGCGAGGCACTCATTTTCACGCCCCTAGGGGGGGCCGCCGAGGGGTGCGACACGGTCCCGTTCGCGGCCGTTTTGTGGGGGTGTCTCAAGCGGTTTGCATGTTTTCTGGCCCAACCCCCTTCGCGTTCATTCTGGCCCAACCTTTTTCGCGTTTGGAGCAGATTTGGAGGATGTCTCGAGCGAAGCGCTCATTTTCACGCCCCTAATGAGAGCCGCCGAGGGGTATGACACGGTCCCGTTCGCGGCCGTTCTGTGGGGATGTCTCGCGGTTTGCCTTTTGTCTGGCCCAACACCCTTCGCGTTCGGAGCAGATTTGGAGGATGTCTCGAGCGAGGCGCTCATTTTCACCCCCCAGGTGGGCCAGCTGTTGAGGATGTCTCGTTCGGTTTGCCTGTTTTGGTGGCCAGATTCGTGGGCGCAGATTCTCCTCAGGGTGCCACCGGATGCTCCAACAATTTCCAGGAGGCCACAAGGGACCACAGGAGATCCCAGGAGGCATCAGGAGGCCACGTAACGATTCAAGAGGCCACAGGATGTCCCAAGAGGCTCCAGGAGGCCCCAGGAAGCTCCAGGATGCATCAGGAAGCCACAGGAGGCCCCAGGGGGCCACAGGAAACGCCAGGAGACTTCGGAAGGCAACAGGAGGCCCCGAGAGGCCCCAGGAACAGGAGGCATCAGAAGGCAACAGGAGCGGCTCCAATCCCAGGTGTTTTACGTATGCTCCTATAGATTGGGCCTCACGTGGAGCACGAATCTTTGACGTTATATGTACGTTTCTATAGAGTGCCCTTTTCCTGCGAACGCAATCTGAAATGTTTTACTTATGTCCTGATATGTCGGGCCTATCCTGTGGCGCGAGTCCTCGGTGCTTTACGCGTGTTCCTATATATTGCCCTTTCCCTGTGGCTCCAATCCGCAATGTTTTATGTGCGGCGGTTGCTATAGATTGGGCCTCTCCCGGGGCACGAAGCCTCCCTGGGAGGTCCCAGGAGGCCCTAGGAAGCCCCAGTAGGTTCCAGGAGGCCCCACGAGGCCCCAGGGTCATGCGCAGAGACGCGCTCGCACTACTGAGGCTCATTCACACCCCAATTCATTCGCAGTTAGACTCATGACCAGACCGTCACAACTGAAACCCGTTTATACGCGAAAGCTCTTGCGCATAGACATTCACGGCGGACAGGTCCACGCGAATAGATGCACATATGGGGACCTCCACGCAGTGAGTAATTTCCCCCCGGTCGCCGCACGCCAGGGCACACGGGCCTGTGGCTCGACGAACATGGAATCGCATACCATGTTCAGCCTGGCGGGCAAGCGGCGTTGCTCGGCATAACGGTCGGGGACCGCGTCGTCTCTGTGGACCGCGAGCTCTTCGCACCTGGTTTGTGGTTTTGCAGGAGAGCGGGCCGAACACATTTCAGTTTGGCCATCAACAGACACAGGTGGTCGCCACTGAAGCCAATCTTGAGAGTCATCACGTTGCTTTCTCAGGTAGGATCTCTCGTGGACATGTCAGCCAGGCTGCTCTACTCGCTCATGACGAGCGATGAGAGCGTTCGCCAAGACCCGCATCTGTATCTGGCCAGCCCCGTGGCGCTTGCGCTGTTTGGCGTAGTTACCGCGTCGACCGATTTGTTGTGGGTCCATGATAGCATGATGGTCCGTTTTACAGGCATCGGGTCTTTCTTTGCAATTGCGAGAACGATCGCTAACATCGGGGTGGCCTTGGGGATTTCGAGACTCAGGGAATCTGGACAAGGTGGCAACTTCTTGCGGCCAGTCGATATGGGTTTGTGGGCGAACGTTGTCAACGTGTCCATGCTGGCGGGGTGCATCTTGATGGCTGGTGCTGTCGTGGCTTCGCAAATGTTCTACTTCGGCTTCCCGCTGACTGCCAGCCCATGGGTCATCTCTCGGCTCAACCAAGCTGCTCTTTTTTGCAGCTTTGCCTGCGCCGTTACGACTTCCGCCGATGCCGTCGGGAAGGAGCTGGAGGAGCTCGTCGATGTGGACTGCGACGCGGCCGACTTCACGGAGCGCATCCACTGCCCGATTGTGGAGTTCATGGGGAAGAACCGCCGTAGTTTGTCGAAACTTGGCTTGCCGTTAGCACTGATGGCGTCGGCTTCGGCCTACGACTTCATGAGTTACCAACTCGTCACCCTGGAGAACGGTTGTCATTGGACTGGGAGGCATGGAGTAAGCCGTTTGTGTGTATGGGAAGACAGGCTGGTCACGCGGCTGTATCTCCTTCATGCGGTGGTCCACATGGCCGGCGTTTTGCTCGCCTGCGGCGCCGCCCCACTTCGCATCTCTGGAGCAGTAGCCACTGCGCAGCGCAAGCTGACCAAACTGCGCAGCCAGAGGCCCCACCTCCACGCTCAGATTGAGACCGTCGAAGCGGTAATGGCTCAGGAGAACGACGGGCAAGGCGTCGGCGTGTCGATCGAGGGCGCTCTTCTGCTGAACAAGTCGCTGGTCCAGAAATGTTTCGTGACCATGGTTGGCGCGGCTGCGTTGCTCCTGTCCTTCACGAACAAGTTGCTGGGAATACGTGAAGGCCCCCAGTGAAATTCTAAACGCTTCGCGTACCCCCACGAGCCCGTCCAGAAATGCGCCCCATGGGAGTGGAGGTGATGAGGGAAGCGGGGGGGGGGCATGCAGAACAAAGGGCGGGGTAAGCCGCCATATGCCCCAAGAGGGGGAGGATGTAGGAGGAGTCGTCGTCGTCGGAGTAGAGGGAAGAGGAGGAGCAGGAGGAGGAGAAGGAGGAGGAGGAGGATAAGGAGGAGGAGATGGAGCAGGGCGAGGGTGTGGAGGACGAGAAGGAGGAGGAGGAGGAGGAGGAGGGGGGCCAGGAGAAGGAGGAGGAGGAGAAGGAGGAGGAGGAGGAGGAGGAGGAGGAGGAGGAGGACGAGGAGAGGGAAGGGGAGGAGGGAGGAGGATGAAAAAAACGGAGGAGGAGGAGGAGGAGGAGGACAATGGCGAGCTTGGGGGCCTCTTGGGCCGTCTTTGGGGCCTCTTGGCAGTCCTGGGGGTCTCTTACGTGTCTCGGGGAATCTCTTGGGGCCTCTTGGGGGTCTCTTGGGGCCTCTTGGGGGTCGTTCGGGGGCCTCCTGGGGGCCTCTTGGGGCTATTGTAGTGGCCTTCGGCCAGTGCCGCCGATCCGGGTCGCTCGGATACACATATTACGCGGACACCTCACGCACGCACGCGACCAAATGCACATATGGCAGACACACATACAGAGACACACTAGGCGCACGCCAGACACTAGCACGCACAGACATTCGCAGACACGCACCACACACAGACACTCGCACAGGAGCCTGTCAGGGCGTCGATGGGGTTTCTTGGGGGCTTTTGGGGGCCCTCTTGGGGGCTCTTGGGTGGGCTGGAAGGCTAGATTTTTTCCGCTTTTCGTTCCTCTTTTGGGTCCTCTTGGGGCCGTCTTGGGGGCTTCTTGGGCCGTCTTGGGTAGCTTTTGGGCCGCCTTGGGGCCCTCTGGGGCCGTCTTGGGACTGCCTGGGGGCCTCCTGGGCCGTCTTCGAGTGGTCTTGGGGGCCTCTTGGGCCGTCTTGGAGCGTCGGAGAGCAGAAAAAAACGACAACCCCAAAAACATGAAAAAAAACAATGGAAATCAACGATTTTTGCCTTTGGGGGCCCTCGTGGGAGGCCTCTTGGAGGCCTCTTCAGACGTCTTGGAAGGCTCTTGGGCCGTCTTGGGACCATCTTGGGCGTGTTCGGGCGATCTTTCGGGGTTTCGGGACTTTCGTAGACCGTCCTAAGAGACTTTTGCGGCCGCGGCCACCCTTGTAGCGCATCCTTGAGATTAGAGCCTTCTGTAAAAGCAGCCCCCCCGCATCCGCCGGAAACTCGCACCCCCCCCCCCCCATCCCCCCTTCCCCGGCAGAGCCACCCCGGCAACCCCCCCAGAGGCTGAGGCTCAGCCTCGAGGCTGTAGCTGAGACTCCTTGAAACTCACACGCCGGATCGGGGCCTCTTGGGGGTCTCTTGGGGCCTCTTGGGGGTCGTTCGGGGGCCTCCTGGGGGCCTCTTGGGGCTATTTTGGGGGCATTTGGGGACCTCTCGGGGCCTCCTGGGCGCTTCTTGGGGCCATTTTGGAGGAGATCTATCAAAGTCAGGGGGGGGGGGAATTAGCAGGCCAAAACCTAAGTAACATCAGTGATTTTGGCCTTTCTCGCCGAGGCCATCTTGGACGCCCCGACGACCCGCGGGCCCCCCCGTCCAGGTCCACGGGATGGAGTAGGGGGAGGGGTCCCCCCCCCCAAAGGGGAGGAAGGAGGGGTGGTAGAGGAAACGCTCTAAACCACCGACGCCCAGAGGGCTGGTGGGACTTTGTCAACCACGAGCGAGCGCACAGGCCGTCTGGCGGGCTAGATGGATACCTTGCGCCGCCAGGTTCAGCATCTGAGCGGGAACGTGGCCGATCTTCAAGCTTTTGTGATGGGCGTGCGGCGCCAGGGCTAGCACGCCGTAGGTGCTCTGGATCTGGCCCTGCGCGCCCTCAGGATGCGACGTCATGCGTGGAAGAAAAACTACCCCAAGTCGGCCGACAGAAGGGGGGGCACGAACCAACAGTCCGAGCCTTCCTCCCCAAGAGGCTCCCGGGAAGCCCCGAGACCCCAAACAGGCCCGAAGGAGGCGCCAAGAGGTCCAAGGCGGCGAGGTCCCGAGAGGCCCCGAGAGGGCCCATGGAACCCCAACGTCGCTCCGAATTGTCCCCCGAAAGGCTCTCCAAGAACCCCCCCGCAACGTGGCCTTAGCGAGGTTCCCTGGACCGTCAGGGGGCCGCGCAGTCTTCGCGAAATTCTGGCATGGAGCATCCGAGTCGTGCTCTTCATCATTGCGCTTCATTTCGCCGCCGACGTCATCCAGACGTTCCCAGAGACGCTTCGGGGATCACGGGCGCGCTCTTGGAGGCCCGCTTCCCAGAGGCGCGGCTCGGGGGAGAGAACGGGCGCGCTCTTGGAGGCCACGCATTCTGCCGGAGTTCTGGGGCCAACATCAGGGCCGCGCCGCTTCATCATTGCACTCCTCATCGCCGTACTTGTGTCATGTTCCCGGATGGGCATCCGGGAAGATCTGTCCGACTGCACTGCTTGAGGCAGAATTTGGGACCCAGGTGCGGCCGGGTGGGCATAGGGCATAGCTTGGGAAGGCTCCTGGGAGCACTTCGTTTTCGTGACCGTCGTCGCCCCCGTCTTCATTTTCATCGTTTCGGCTCATCATCGACAGTTTCGTCGCCATTATCGCTTGCAGCGGGCGAACACATATCACTATCGCCACCCACCAAAACCATTATCATCATTTTCCTTGCAGTCGTAACTATCAGCACGAGCCTCCGTCCAATGAGAAGCGCCCGTACCATCGTCGTCATGTCGTCCACCAATTGTTCCCAAAGAGGTCTTCGGGAACGTCGACGCGCATGCACGTTTCAGGGGGGCATCTCTCGGGTGAGGGTGGCTCGGAATGGGCCCTTTGAGGTCTGATTCAATCTCTTGGGGCTCCTGCGAGAACATCGGTGTTTTTTGTTTTGATGCGTGGCCTCCGTGCGTTTCTCGGGGTAGGCAGGCCTGTGACAGCGTGGAGGGTTATTCCAAGCTCCGGTGTCTTCGGAAGGGGTAACCCACATGAGAAGAAGCAGGACGCGGTGGATGACCACTTGGAGGAGCATCAGGCCCTCGACACCCAGTCGTTTAAACTTGGGATGCGCCCTGCACCTCCGAGCTCAGGCGGGCGCGCGTGAAAGCTCGAACCTGGAACTTCGAGAATCGAGTTTGCACGTTTCGTCTCGTCCTCCCCTCCCATCCCCAGGGTTCCCAAGTGGCGGTCAAGAGCCCAAAGCGATGGAGAAATCGCTCAACAACGGACGGAATCAGATTGAGGGGGCCGAGCGGTCATTCATTGTCCGTGGGTGCGTGGCTGTATAAGGAATCCGTGGTGCAAATTATGGTTGTTGCACTGTGGTTATTGGTGTTGTTGTTGTTGGTGACGTAGTTGTTGGTGTTGTTGTTGGTGTTGGTGTTGGTGTTAGTTTTGTTGTTGCTGTTGTTGATGATGTTGTTCTTGATGTTGGTGGAGTTGTTGGTGGTGGTGGTGTTGTTGTTGCTGTTGTTGTTGTTGTTGTTGTTGTTGTTGTTGTTTTTGTTGTTGTTGTTATTGTTGTTGTTGTTGTTGTCGTTGTTGTTGTTGTTGGTGGTGGTGTTGTTGTTGTTATTGTTGTTGTTGTTGTTGTTGTTGTTGTTGTTGTTGTTGTTGTCGTCGTTGTTGTTGTTGTTGTTGTTGTTGTTGTTGTTGTTGTTTTTGTTTGTCGTCGTCGCACCCGCGACCCACCCGCGATCCACCCCGCGACCCACCCCGCGACACACCCCGCGACCCAACCCGCGACCCGCCCCGCGACCCACCCGCGACCAAACCCGCGACCCACCCGCGACCCACCCCTCGATCCACCCGCGACCCACCCGCGACCCACCCGCGACCCACACCGCGACCCATCCGCGACCGCGACCCCACACGACCCGTCCGCGACCCATCCGCGACCCACCCGCGACCCACCCCGCGACCCACCCGCGACCCACCCCGCTACCCACCCTTCAGGGAGGAAAAACGGACCCGACAAATGACGTTTACTAAAACGGCTTTGGGCGTTGATTAAAGAACCCTGCCCCATTCGATTCATTCCATGCGTGCGTTTACTAACGGCGCCGCTTGTCAGGTTGATTCTTATGTGGTGGGTTTTCTGTCCTCTACTACACCCGCGACCCGATTGCGACCCACCCGCGACCCACTTGCGACTTACCCGCGACCCAGCCACATTGGTTTGACGAACAAATCGGCGCCGGCGGCGGGTTCGTTGCATGATTTGTGAAACTTTGGCGCTTGCGGCGGGCTTCTCCGGAGTCTCGCAAACTACCGACGTTCTCACCGCCCCCCTCATTTTGATCCGCATCTACGGGGTGCTACGGTAATGCCCATTATCGCCGAAATTAAAGAAATTCCCTCGTGAGTGGAGGGGCAGCGCTGGCAGACGCGCCCGACTCCTTTTGAGTGTTTGTGTTTGACGCGCAGAGTTCACGGAGCCTCGTGTTTTGCCCGAGGTGGGAATTCATACATGACCACCGCTCGGAGGATCAATTTCCGGGGATCTCGGCAGGCGGTGGATATGGATATATTCGGGCCCCCGGGGGGGAAAACTATATCCGTATCCACCGCCCGCTGCCTCCTCCTTCTCTTCCTCCTCCACCTCCTCCTCCTCCTCCTCGTCCTCCCCCTCCTCCCCCTCCTCCCCCTCCTCCTCCTCTTCCTTCTATCCACCTCCTCATCATGCTCCTTCTCCTTCTCCTCCTCCTTACCTCCTCCTCCTCCTCTCCCTCCTCGTCTTCACTCTATCTTTCGCCTCCTCCCCCTCCTCCGCCTCCCCCTCCTCTGGCTTCTCCTCCTCCTCTTCACGCTATCCTCCTCCTCCTCCTCCTCCTCCTCCTCCTCCTCCTCCTCCTCCTCCTCCTCCTCCTCCTCACAGTCGGCCCAGATTGTTAGGTCGATCCTGCCAATTCAAGGGTACACTACTTTCCTGTGTCTCGCGACCCATGCCTCCTACA